ATGGAGCCAATGGATACTAGTTTTTTGAACTCCATTCACATAACCATTTAACTCCATTGGCTCCATTGCCAACCCTGCGTTCAACGTAAGAATCTAGCAATGCGACCTCGAAAACTGCTAATATTAATACCTATTATATTTTTTATAAACTTCCTAGTATTTTATGCATTGTTTCTATTATCACGTTCTTCGTATTTCAATTATGTCTTTCGTTACACTCCGGATAATATAAGTAAAACTTTCCCTATAAGATTACAACCACTTCCTTTAGTATCTTCAAATGTTCAATGGCCATCAAACCTAAGATTTGCACTTTGTAAACCGAAAATTTATGTTTATAAACTTCCCTCTCATTTGATATCTCAAAGTCATTATGGATACGAAGTATGTACCCTTTTAAGTTATAATCCTGATGCGATACTTTATGAACAACTTATAAACCCTGGAAAAATTAGAGATCTTTATGTAACTTCTAATCCTAAAGATGCTGATTTTTTTTTCGTCCCATTTTTTGGTTCTTGTTATTTAATGAATTGCTGGAATAACAATTATTGGAATTATACTAAACCATGTAATTTGGATATTCAATATTCGATTCCCTTAATGAATTGGATAATTCAAGAACATCCTTATTGGAATAGAACTAACGGGAAGGATCATATTATGGCTCTTTCTATTGACGAAATCCCTTCTTATTATACTGAAAGTCTAAATTTATTGTTGAATGCTAGTTTCTTAACCTTCATTGGAGATAGAAGATCTAATGGTATCATGAAACATAGGTATCGTCATATGCATGATATTGTAGTTCCTTCGATTACTGACATTTTGGATTTGATCAAAATAAATCCAAGGAAATATGTCACTGAGGATGGAAATATGAATACTAGAAATGTTTTTGCTATCTTTCGAGGTTGTTGCCGAAATATTGAACCTGAAGATGATTATTCAGCAGGCATTATATCGTTATTTTTTAATGGATTGGCTCATTCTTCAAGATATGACATTGATGAGGATATAGATCTTAAAATTGATGATTATGCTTGGTTACTGGCAAGGGCAAAGTTTGGGCTCGCTCCTCAAGGACAAACTCTAGGTATTGCTAGACTTTGGGAATATTTGGCCTTTGGTGTTGTGCCCGTGATAATTTCTGATGGAATTGTACTTCCTTTTGAAAACGATGTTGATTGGAATAGGTATTCTTCAATTCTCATTCTAATACTATTATATATTGATGAATAACAATTCTATTAACACAAATTTTTTTGCAATTCTTAGTATGGTGGTTTTTATTCGTAGAGAGGATGCACATCTTATCGATGAAATATTACTTTCAATATCAGAAAATGAATATCAACGAAAGAGACAACGTGTATGGGAAATAGGTAGTCAGTTAATTAAAAATTCATGGCATTATATCGCACGGGACTTGTGTAGAAAAATGGATCGTATCGTACCCGTTGAATTAGAACTATAGGAAATGCATTTGAAAATAGCAGATACAGTAGTTTTAAATATAATTTCCGCCAAAATAGTGGAGGTTCTTTTTTTTTTAAAAAAAAAAAAAATCGACACTTAGCAAAGATTTTATCAACAATAGATTGTAGAATCAAGCAATAATATAAACAAAATTAATTTGCATATTAAAAAAATATAATCAGTGAAAGCCAGGCACAAAAATATTAGCGCTAACGGCTAAACAAAACACACAACTGTATATATTTGAATTTAGCCTTCTTTATTATAAAGTAAGGCTGCAGACGTTAGAATATCAAATAGCATACGACAGTGACGTGTAATTCTTGAATGTATGCTAGGTTGGTGGCGCATTAATCAGCCACAATTATCTCTTTTATTTTTAGTATGTACAGTACGTTCGTAAAATTTCTTTTTGAATGAAAACTTCCACCGTCCTGTACTTTTGTGAATTGAAGATATAACGGAAGTACAGTAGTCGATTCTCTCTATACAGAACTATTATAAATTTTAAATTTTTAGTTCGTTCATTATAAAAAGACTCGTTATAAAGAGAGTTGACCGTGCTTAATATTGTAAGTAGAGTATATTACAGTAATTTCGGAAATACGTAAGATTAACAAAGCTTATAAAATTCGTTTTAAAGTGAAACCCCTTAAACAATAAGGAACATTACTATTATTCTTTTTTTAAGATACGATTCCAGCGTAGATTATAAAAATTTTTTTTATAAATTATAGAGTACGTGTTTATTAGCTAACATAATTGTGTTTATTTGAGATTTATTATTATATTTTTAAGGTCAATATTGTTATTGGGACTTTTTAATTGGCTTATGCGCTAGTGACGTAGATGGTGACGTATGACGTCACTACCAAATTTTATAGTAGCGAAAAAAATATCTTCCCACCAAAATTCAACCCACACGTGACCAACTACAAAATGCGTTAAGTTTTTTTTAGGGTTAGGGTAGGGATGTTAAATTGCGAATCCGGTCCGGTCCGATCCCAGGATCTATTAGGACGGTCCCGGACCTATTAATAAAAACCGTTAATTAATCGATCCCAGGACCGGGTCCTGAATTACAATCCTCAACAGGTTCATCCAATCAAATTGACCATTAAGC